CATTTGTCAGTAGACGAGTGAATGAAGAAAGACGGGACTATGTTTTTGAATCATGCTTGATTAGATATTTTAATTAGCATTGATTATGTTAAAGTATTTTACGCTTCCGCAATTATGTAACGAATTATGTTAAACATATTATTTGTGTTTGAAAATGTAAGTTCGTATTTTTGTTCATGACATAAGTTATTAAGAATGACGTCACGACACTCGAAAGAAAGAAAAGAAAAAAAAATCGGGGCGTGACAAGTTGGTATCAAAGCCGTAGTTTAAGTGAACTAAGTTATTATATATTAGCTTAGACTTAAACTAGGAATTAGATGGTGAGAGTCTGTGAAGGACATTATGTGATCTTTAGTCATGAAGCTCTTAGTCAAGTGAATTATAAAATTGTTAATTTTCCACTCCTAGGAGCTAGAACTAATAAATGAATCTACCTAAGTTTGATCACTACTTATTTTAGTCGATATAACCATATGAAGTGACATATAGAAATGTATGATTGGTTAAGTTGTGGACCTCCGAAAGGCTACATAGGGCAACAAAAGGATTCTAACTTTTAAGATACCGGTTTGATCATTTTTGGTAGTCGAACGGATTAATAAAAAGTGTTTGATTTAAGTACCTAGACAATCATTAAGTGATCATGAATTTTTACTTAGCCATTGTCTTAAGTTTCTTTGATGATTTAGAATGTCTAGATACGAGTTAACCAACAATCATTTACAWTCGCCTAGTAACTATTGTAAGCCGATGAAAAGTTAGAAGGGGATAAGTGACAACTAAATTTGGAGATAGAAAGTTTCCAGGACTTAGAAAGGAGTATGCATGTTAAGGATTATGAGCATTACAAAAAAAAATGAGAAATATGTTTTAACCTTATCACCTTGTGATCGGTACTTGGTATAAATTATTTGGAACGCGTTATATGATACTTGCATTAAATGATTTTGTTATATGCAAAATTGGTGATAAAGTTACATGTATTATATGTATGTATGGCTCGCCTATCTTTATAGTGAGATTGTTAGTGATGAGACGAGTCCCAACAAT